TTACAGGCACGTTGGCCTGGGGGGTTATGGGCGCACTCACCCGCTACACAAACAAGCCCTTTTATCCCAGTGGTTAGTGACTGGGATTCTGACATTATCGGGCGCTGAATCGGGTCACGATAAAATCGCGTTACCCGATCCCGCGAACTGACGATCTGCTGGATCAACTTCGCGGAGCTCGTTATTTCTCCAAAATCGACCTGCGAGGAGGCTACCACCAAATTCGCGTGTTCGCCGACGGCCGCCCGAAGACAGCTTTTTGCACACGCTACGACAGTTACGAATTTACCGTGATGCCATTCGGACTAACAAACGCGCCCTCGACGTTCTAGCTGACAATGAACGGCATCTTCCGGGACATGCTGAACAAGAAGGTGATTGTGTACCTGGATGATATCCTGGTATATAGCGCGACGAAAGAAGACCATTTGAGGGATTTAGAGGAGGTGTTCCGGCGTTTACAGGGGCATCGGCTGATTACGAAGGGGTCTAAGTGCGAGTTCCTAAAGCCCGAGTTGGAGTTTTTGGGGCACGTCGTTTCCGGCGAAGGAATCAAGATCGACCCACGTACGGTGGACGCCATCGTTAAAGCCAGCAGCTAAAATAGTGACCCCCCCCTTCTAGTTGGGTCCACTTGAAAACTGAAGTTTTTTTGGAACAGTTTCGGAACCAATGAAGTGCTGTGCATGTTTATTTTTTCACTCCTGACGAGTCTCGCTGTGAACGGGGAACACTTGGAAGAGTGCACAATTCTGATTGGCAGCGAAACTCACACACAATGCACACATACTTCTCTGCGAATTTGGCGCAAGGTTTCAATGCCTGTATTCACTCGAGCAGTCATCGAACTTCACAAAACCGAACATCAATCAACAACACAGAATCCAGAGCACACACATATGCCAAGGTGGGCGGACGACCTGGCAGAGCTGCGAGAAACGGCGAGACCTTGGACTTGAGGCTGAGAGAGGTTAAAAATAGGGACAGTGTAGGACGAGGGGGATAGAATGATATCGATGGGGAGAGAGAGAGGAACAACGGCCAGCGAGGGGAGAGCGGAGGAGCGAAGGGAAGAAAGAGAAGAGAGGAGGCGAACGACGGGATGGGAGGGGAGAGGAGGCGAACGACGGGATGGGAGGGGAGAGGAGGCGAACGACGGGATGGGAGGGGAGGGGAGGACCGTGAGCGCGATGGCAAGGGAGGGGAGGAACGTAGCGCGATGGCGAGGGGAGGGGAGGAACGTGAGCGCGATGGCGAGGGGAGGGGAGGAACGTGAGCGCGATGGCGAGGGGAGGGAGGAACGTGAGCGCGATTGCGAGGGGAGGGAGGAACGTGAGCGCGATGGCGAGGGGAGGGGAGGAACGTGAGCGCGATGGCGAGTGGAGGGGAGGAACGTGAGCGCGATGGCGAGGGGAGGGAGGAACGTGAGCGCGATGGCGAGGGGAGGGGAGGAACGTGAGCGCGATGGCGAGTGGAGGGGAGGAACGTGAGCGCGATGGCGAGGGGAGGGAGGAACGACCGGATGGGAGGGGAGATTGCAAGGGCGACGGGATGGAGAGCGCTAAGGCGACGAAATGGAGAGCGCTAAGGCGACGAAATGGAATAAAATTACGATACAACGCTATGTAACAGTCTTACGCATTCCTGTTGGGTCGTTAGTTCCTTAGCTTGGCCACAAACATCTATTGTTGTCAGCTATAATATGCTAGGAATGAAACTAGTGATTACGGGACGGAAAGCAACTAGCATGAAACCCAGTTCCAGTTTGGCCTGGCGATCGAAACCATCGCTTGGCAAGAGTCGTGCAGGTGTAGCACGAAACATGCGACAGAGGAGATCCGCAGGGAAAAAAAATTTGGCGGGAACATGAAGAATCAAAGATTGGCGACAGCCAATCACATTTGCTCATGGTGCTTTTCGTTTTGTTTGGAACAGTGCTCGAACGGCCCGTTTTCGGCAGCCACTTTCAAGATGGGACAGGGTTCACTATTTTATATTTCGGTTTTAAGTGGAAGCCGCTGACTAATATCCCCGAGTTGCAGAATTTTTTGGGGTTTATTAACTACGTTCGCCGTTTTGTACCTGATATGGTAGGGATAACCAAGCCACTGACCGACCTGCTGCTCCACGACTGTCATTTTCGATGGGGGGAGAGGGAGAAGTCCACCTTCGACGCACTCAAAAACATTTTGGGTTTGCCCCCGGTACTCCGCCTCGCCGACCCATCTCGACCGTTCGAAGTCATCACGGACGCCAGTAATTTCGCTGTCAGCGCCGTCCTGCTACAGGACTTCGGCAAAGGGCTGCAACCCATCGCCTACGAATCACGCAAGATGCAGCCACCCGAGCGCAACTACCCAGTCCACGACAAAGAGATGCTGGCCATCGTCCACGCATTTCGTACCTGGCGCTGCTACCTCACGGGAGCCGACGTGACTATTCGAACCGACCACAAATCGCTACAGTACATGCGCACGCAACCGACACTCAACCCGCGACAAATCCGGTGGTTGGACTTCCTCGAGTCCAATTTCCGGTACACCATCACGTACAAGAAAGGCGCCAACAACATTGCCAACGCCCTCACCCGACCATCCATTCAGAACGCGGCGGTACTAATCGCCCACACCAACCCGATGCTGACGGGACTATTCACCCACGGCTACAAAATTGACAGATTTTTCAAAGACCAACACCAACAGGCTGCTACGCCACACGGCAAATACTACCTAAAAGCCGGTACGAACCGGATTTGGGTACCCGCCTACCAGCCTTTACGGGAGTTGCTGACGCAGGAGGTACACGACTCCAACCTCTCCGGGCATTTCGGCATCGACAAAACACTGAAGCTGCTGCAGCGGAATTATTACTGGCCGGACATGCTCACCGACGTGCAGCACTATGTGTCAACTTGCCCGACTTGCCACAAAGGCCAGCCGGACTTGAAGTCGTCGCGACAAAGGCCAGCCGGACTTGAAGTCGTCGCGACAAAGGCCAGCCGGACTGCTGCAGCCCCTCGCGTTACCCGAACGACCGTGGCAACAGGTGACGATGGATTTCGTCATGGGGCTTCCAGCTGGCGCAAGTGGCAACGACTCGGTAATGGTCGTCGTCGATCGCCTGACAAAAATGGCGTATTTCGCACCATGCCGAACGACGATAACAGCCGAAGACATAGCAAAACACTTCATCTCCACCGTCGTACGCCTACACGGGTTACCTTCGGCGATCATCAGCGATCGAGATCCGAAATTTACGTCGAAGTTCTGGCAGGAGACGTGGGCACAGTACGGTACCCGCCTGCAGTTTTCGTCGTCATACCACCCGCAAACCGACGGACGGACGGGACGGACAAATCATACCATGTAGCAACTGATTCGCACCAACTGCCCGGATATTCGCAAGTGGGAGGACTCGATGCCGATGCTGGAATTCGCGTACAACAACGCCCCGTCGGCCACGACTAAACAATCACCCTTCTATTTGAATTACGGGATAGACCCAGTGGTACCCACATCAACGACTTTGGACAACCCAGTGCCACGATCGTAGCAGTTTGTCACGGAACTGCAGACAGCCCGCACGAAGGCAGCTGATTTTATTCGTAAAGCTAATACCACAGCCAGCCGCCAGGCGGACAAGCATCGACGGAATTTACCCTTCCGCTCAGGGCAGGTCGTGCTTCTGGACACCAAGAATCTCCGCCTACCGCAGCCAGCGAAACTACGGCCCCGATACGTGGGACCATTTCGGATCATCCAGATGGTGACACCTGTCACCGCGAAGCTGCTGCTGCCCAACGACTCGAAGATACATGATGCTTTCCACGTCAGCCTGCTGCGCCACTACGAACAGCCGCAGTCGCCAGCTGTTGCTCGGCCAACCATCGCGCCGACCACACGCCCCGTGGCGGAACCCACGCTGGAGCCTTGGAAGATTCTCAATCGTCGCGTGGATGTGACTGCCGCCGGCCGCTCGGTGAAATTCCTGCTTCGCTGGAAAGAACGCACGAGCGAGGACGACACGTACCGTAATCTCCCGTATATAGGACCCGGGGGTCTTATCAGAAATGTTGTGAATAATGATTAGGTGAACAATACCAAGGGTCATATTTACTAAGACCCGTGAATATATTAAAAATTCATAGAGCACAATGTATTCACTCATAGCACTGGAAAGTCAAGCTTTTACCGAGGGTGTTGAATTCTTCCCCTGACGCGGATTCGAATCTCAACAGTAAAATCCACGCAAAATCGAATCCTGACTGGAATTCGACGCGAAACTGTCTCGCGTCACCGTTTTGTGCCTGATGACGAGTCAGCCGAGCATCACCAACCCCCCAGATTCGTTAAGAATATAACATTAATTTGAAATTTTGACGAAGGAGGGGGGTCTTAAAATTAATTATTAAAAAAAGGGGGGTCCTCACGAGAACAGGTCGGAATAAACAACCCTTGGTCCGGAAAGAGGACCCGGGGTCTTCTCCGCGGGGGGGTACTGTATCCCAGAGATTACGGTATGTTGCACCTGACTCGCTACTGGGACATCCGGTTGTGGATGCTTACTTAGCCCGCCGAGGTGTCTCGGATATCCACCACCTTTCTTAAGGGGGGGGGTAGTGTAAGGAATTTTTCGGATTCCTTACTGGGTCACACTGTACGCGTACAACCCCGGTTTTCGGAAAACCAGGCTCGGCACGACGACCTCGCCTTCCGAGCCACCACCGCGTCGCCTTCGGGTTTTCCAACCCCGAACCTGCACCCAACCATCTCGCGACCGCGCGACCTCGGCCTAGCTAGCATCGCTGTATCAGTCCTAGGCCTCGTCGTTCCTTCAGACGTCGTAATCACTTCCGCGTTTTTGAATTCTGCGCACTCTTCCTTTCACAACTCATAACAATAACAACAGAAATTTGTAACCACCTAGTGGTAACACGCGACAATCACCAAAACTCACGCGTTTTTTCTCATCCACCACCGCACCCTTGCGATAGCAATCACATGCACGCCAGGCCGCATCACGAATCGCAAACGTCGTTACCAACCAGCTCCGTTTCTCCACCACGCACCGACGCACACCTAATAGACCCCCATCGCGCGCTCGCCATGGCGGCCGACCCGCAGAGCCAGTCGCTGGCGGACGGCACGGCGGTGGCGGCGGCGCGGCTGCCGGCGTCGTTGGACATGCCGGAGTTCAACACCGTCGACTTCATCAACCACCTCTTCCCCAACGGTGCTGCTTCCCGTCCTCAACCCCTCCCCTCGCTCTCCCCCCAGCCGCGGCGAGCGCGGTTAGAACCAATGAGCGCGGCAGCCACGCGCGTTCCGCGGCGGTGGTCGTCGTCCCACCGTCGCCGTGCTGCTCGTCGCAGCCATGCCCCTCTTCCTCTCCCCCAACCCGCAACCGGCCCTCGCAGCCCGTCCCCCTGCCCCCTCCCCGCATGGCAGAGTCGTCGCTGGCAGCCGTGGATCCGCTCATCCAGAAGCTGCGCAACCGCATCCGCCGCGTCGACGCCGAGATCCTCCTCGCCATCCGCCAGCAGGTGCGCCATCCGCCAGCAGGTGCGCCATCCGCCAGCAGGTGCGCCATCCGCCAGCAGGTGCGCCGTGGGCAGCAGATGACTTGTTTGGGCAGCTGACGAAAGATTTGGGCAGTAGCAGCTAACCAAATATGGTGACAGACAGCTGATGAAAGATTTTGGGGCAGCTGATAAAATATTTGGAGTAACCTTATGAGGCAGCAGGTGAAACAGTTGGGAAGAATAAAAAGATATGAGCCAACAGGCAGGGTTGAACAGTTGGCAGCATCCAAGCGACTCATGTTCTCACCCACATGCATGGCTGCGCTGTTTTGGAGTATGGCATGGCATGGCATGGTATGGCATGGCATGGCGTGGTATGGTATGGCAGAGCACGTCAGGGTCGCAAGCGAAGGACGACCTGGCAGCCTCCATGCGCGCCATTGAGGTGAGCCAGCCCCCTGGGTGCATGCCACTGGAGGGATGGGATGGGAAGGGGTGGGATGGGATGGGGTGGGGTGGGGTGGGGTGGGATGAGAGGGGAGGGGAGAAAGCATGTGTCGTGGGTGTTACTTGCATAATCAAGTCAACCCCCTACCCCACACCGCTCTGCCCCACACCGCTCTGCCCCACACCGCTCTGCCCCACACCGCTCTGCCGCGCGCGGCACTGCCCACCTCCTTTGCTTTATCCCTCCGCCTTCCCCAAACACGCGTGCTTCTCGTCGGGATGCCGCCCGCCACGCGCCATGCATCTCCTCCCCCCCTCCCCCCTCCCCCCACCTGGCAGGAGCTGTGGGTGAAGATGCGGGCGATAGGGGCGAAGGCGGAGGCGAGTGAGGTGATGGTGCAGGAGATATGCCGCGACATCAAGAAGCTTGACTGTGCCAAGAAGCACATCACCGCCACCATCACCGCCCTCAACCGCCTCGCCATGCTCGGTGCGCTGCACTCCCCCCCCCCCCCCAATGCTCGGTGCGCCTCACACCAACGCCACGCCGTCGCGCCCTAATGCTCGGTGCTGGCCTGCTGGGAAACAACGGGGACAGCACGCTTGCACGAGGACAATACGCTTGCACGGGGACAGCATGCTTGTGGGGGTACAGTACTCTTCTGCTTCTAGATGAGTAATAACGTCCCGTGTTTCTGCATGGCACCTACAGTACTCTTACCGCTCCCCCTCCCCCTCCCCTTCCGCCTCCCCTTCCTTCCCCCTCCCCTCCCCTTCCTTCCCCCTCCCCTCCCCTTCCTTCCCGCTCCCGTTCCTTGCCCCTCCCCTCCGCCCCCCCTTCAGTGTTCGCGGTGGATCGTCTGCAGGCGCTGGCCGCCAACCGCCAGTACCGCGATGCCGCCGACCAGCTGCAGGTGGATGGGGTGCCGTGGGGTACTGTGCCGTGGAGTAGTGTCGTGTGGTGTGCCGTGGACAATGGGGGTTGTGGGGCCGCATGGTTATGGTTTGCCCTGTGCCAGCTTACTTTAGGAAGCCTCGAGTGAGTACAAGTGTGGGTTGGCCGGGAAGATTGATCTTTCAAATGGAGCTGTTCGCCTGTCGTTCTCTCCCTCATCCCCACCCTGCCATGCCCCTTGTCCTAGCACTCCCTCCCACCCCACACCTGCGTGCCTATCCCCCCCCCTCTGCTTTGCTCCTCTGCCCCGTCCTCGTCCATCCTGTACATATATACATCTGTGTAAGTAACTTTGTATGTCATATATATGTGCGTTCAACCATGCCGCACCACCCACTCACTCGCCCAACCCCCAAAACACCCACACCAACCATGCCAAGTGCATGGCATCTCGGCGCCTCTTTCCCTCCCCTACCGCGGCTTTCCTCTCCATGGCCCAACCTTCCCCCCTCCCGCTCTCTCCACCTTCTTCAACCCCTCCCCCCCTCTCCCCAACGACCGCAGGCGGTGACGCAGCTACAGGCGCACTGTGAGGCGCGCCGAGCCATGCCCAGCCCAAGATGGCGGAGCTGCACCCACCACCCCCATGGCCCCGCCCCCCCCTTCCTTTGCTCGCTCTCCCCCCTCTCTCCGCCCCCTCTCTCCGCCCCCTCTCTCCCCCCCTGGGCGGAGCAGGCGGTGACGCAGCTGCTGGCGCACTTTGAGGCGTACAGGGACATCCCCAAGATAGCGGACCTGCAGGGGCGCGTGGCGGCGCTCAAGGCCACGCTCAAGTCGCACATCTTCTCCGACTTCTCCACGTGCGCTGCGCCCCCATCCGCATGCACACTGCTTAATGAGCTGAAATACTATTGTGAAACACCTTCAATGATCTTTCTTCGTGAACTGCTGCGCTGGGTGCACTTTACATGGCTGAGCTGAGGGTGTTCAGCGCCACCCTCAGTCACCCGCACTGTTAGATTATAGCATGCATATGGCTAGACCTAACAGTGTACACCCAAATCATGGGTGTACACATTCAGGAGGTCTCCCAACTTTTGGTTGGGTTTCCACAACCCAGGCGACCATTATTGTTGGGGAGCCAACATTGGTGGCCAAACCCTCCAATGTTTGGCTCCTCCAATAATTGGGCTGGACCCTCACCACATTGGTCAACCAATAATGGTGGGGGGTAACCCTAACTTTGGTCACTCACCTCATGCACTATTTGTACTGCTCTTCTTTCTCAATATATCAACACTTCAGTTTCTCACATGGTAATCAGAGCTACAACGGTTAACACCGTCTCTCGATCCTAAGGACCACACCTATCGCGTGCCACATCACGCCCCCCTTACGCGACGTTACGTCGCTCTTTGCGCCTAGTGCGCGTCTACGCCGTCACGGCTCCCCTCCCCTTGCGCTAAATTCCAGCGCCCCTCCCCCCTTCCTACGGTCAATTCCGCCTCTCACGGCCCTCCCCTCTCTCCTACGAACGAGCCCACCGTCGGAACGGCCAGCGCGACCGACGGGACGGCCAGCGCGACCGACGGGACGGCCAGCGCGACCGTCGGGCCGGCCAGCGCGACCGTCGGGACGGCCAGCGCGACCGTTGGGACGGCCAGCGCGACCGTCGGGACGGCCAGCGCGACCGTCGGGACGGCCAGCGCGACCGTCGGGACGGCCAGCGCGACCGACGGGACGGCCAGCGCGACCGACGGGACGGCCAGCGCGACCGTCGGGACGTTGACCGTCGTGACCTACATTACGGACGGGCGCCATTGCCACGACGAACACGGGCGCTCGTCGTGACCTAATCCGTCGCCGCCTCTACCTTCCGCCGACGCGGAGCAATCCGCCGCCCACGCGACCTGCCTTTGTCGCTTCTTGCCGCAGCTGCTACCACTGTCGCCACCACACGGTCTCATAGCCTCCACGGTCTCATGTCGCGGCCTCACGCCGTCGCAATACGCCAACGTCGCCGCCTGATGCTGCCGCGACCCCTACGACGACGTCGCCGCCGCTCTCACCTCTCCAGCCACGACTACTAGCCGCAGCCAACTCACCGCACACTCCCACCTCCTCCTCTCCCCGCTCTCCTCAAGCCCTCCAGGCCTTCTCTCCTCTCGCTGCCTCCTCCTCAGGGCCTTCCAGCCCTCCTCCCCCCTCGCTTCCTCCTCGTAAGGGCCGTCCAGCCCTCCTTTTCCCCTCGCTTCCGCATCTCCCCTCGATCCTCCTCCTCCTCAGAGCATTTCAGCCCTCCCCCCCCCCCCCCTCGCTTCCTCCTCCTCAGGGCATTTCAGCCCTCCTCCTCTCCCCCCTCCCTCGCTTCCTCCGCCTCTCCCCTCGATTCCTCCTCCTCAGGGCAATTCAGCCCTCCTCCCTCCTCCTCATCAGGGCATTTCAGCCCTCCTACCCCCTTGCTTTTCTCCTCCTTAGGGCATTTCAGCCCTCCTCTCCCCCTCGCTTCCGCATCTCCCCTCCATTCCTCCTCCTCAGGGCATTTTCAGCCCTCCTCCCCCCTTGCTTCCTCCTCCTCAGGGCATTCAGCCCTCCTCCCCCCCTCACTTCCTCCTCCTCAGGGCACTTCAGCCCTCCTCCCCCCCCCTCGCTTCCTCCTCCTCGGGCATCAGCCCTCCTCCTCCCCTCGCTTCCTCCTTCGGGCCATCCAGCCCTCTCCCCCTTCCCCCTCGCTTCCTCCTCCTTCGGGCCATCCAGCCCTCCTCCCCCTTCCCCCTCGCTTCCTCCTCCTTTCGGGCCATCCAGCCCTCCTCCCCTTCCCCCCTCGCTTCCTCCTCTTTCGGGCCATCCAGCCCTCCTCCCCCTCCCCCCTCGCTTCCTCCTCCTTGGGCCATCCAGCCTCCCCCCCTTCCCCCTCGCTTCCTCCTCCTTCGGGCCATCCAGCCCTCCCCCCTCCCCCTCGCTTCCTCCTCCTTCGGGCCATCCCCTCCTCCCCCTTCCCCCTCGCTTCCTCCTCCTTCGGGCCATCCAGCCCTCCTCCCCCTTCCCCCTCGCTTCCTCCTCTTCGGGCCATCCAGCCCTCCTCCCCCTCCCCCCTCGCTTCCTCCTCCTTCGGGCCATCCAGCCCTCCTCCCCCTTCCCCCTCGCTTCCTCCTCCTTCGGGCCATCCAGCTCTCCCCCTTCCCCCTCGCTTCCTCCCCTTCGGGCCATCAGCCCTCCTCCCCCTTCCCCCTCGCTTCCTCCTCCTTCGGGCCATCCAGCCCTCCTCCCCCTTCCCCCTCGCTTCCTCCTCTTCGGGCCATCCAGCCCTCCTCCCCCTCCCCCTCGCTTCCTCCTCCTTCGGGCCATCCAGCCCTCCTCCCCCTTCCCCCTCGCTTCCTCCTCCTTCGGGCCATCCAGCCCTCCTCCCCCTTCCCCCTCGCTTCCTCCTCCTTCGGGCCATCCAGCCCTCCTCCCCCTCCCCCTCGCTTCCTCCTCCTTCGGGCCATCCAGCCCTCCTCCCCCTTCCCCCTCGCTTCCTCCTCCTCGGCCATCCAGCCCTCCTCCCCCTTCCCCCTCGCTTCCTCCTCCTTCGGGCCATCCAGCCCTCCTCCCCCTTCCCCCTCGCTTCCTCCTCCTTCGGGCCATCCAGCCCTCCTCCCCCTCCCCTCGCTTCCTCCTCCTTCGGGCCATCCCCCTCCTCCCCCTCCCCCTCGTTCCTCCCCTTCGGGCCATCCAGCCCTCCTCCCCTCCCCCCTCGCTTCCTCCTCCTTCGGGCCATCCAGCCCCTCCTCCCTCCCCCCTCGCTTCCTCCTCCTTCGGCCATCCAGCCTCCTCCCCCTCCCCCCTCGCTTCCTCCTCCTTCGGGCCATCCAGCCCTCCTCCCCCTCCCCCTCGCTTCCTCCCCTTCGGGCCATCCAGCCCTCCTCCCCCTCCCCCTCGCTTCCTCCTCCTTCGGGCCATCCAGCCCTCCTCCCCTCCCCCTCGCTTCCTCCTCCTTCGGGCCATCCAGCCCTCCTCCCCCTCCCCCTCGCTTCCTCCTCCTTCGGGCCATCCAGCCCTCCTCCCCCTCCCCCTCGCTTCCTCCTCCTTCGGGCCATCCAGCCCTCCTCCCCCTCCCCCTCGCTTCCTCCTCCTTCGGGCCATCCAGCCCTCCTCCCCCTCCCCTCGCTTCCTCCTCCTTCGGGCCATCCAGCCCTCCTCCCCCTCCCCCCTCGCTTCCTCCTCCTTCGGGCCATCCAGCCCTCCTCCCCTCCCCCTCGCTTCCTCCTCCTTCGGGCCATCCAGCCCTCCTCCCCCTCCCCCCTCGCTTCCTCCTCCTTCGGGCCATCCAGCCCTCCTCCCCCTTCCCCTCGCTTCCTCCTCCTTCGGGCCTCCAGCCCTCCTCCCTCCCCCGCGCTCTCCCGCTCCGCCGCCTCCCCTTCCCCCGCCTCTCCCGCTGCCACCCTCACCGCCCTGCCATCTCGTGGTCGCCAACGCTTCCTACCCCACCTCGTAGGGCCTGCTCTGCCCCTCCGCTGCCGCCGCCGTCTCCCTTCCTCACCTGCAGCAGCCCCCCCCTCCCTGCTGGTGTGCGACCTCACCGCCACAGCACCTTCGGCTGGCTTGCTTCCTCACCTGCAGCAGCACCCCCTCCCTGCTGGTGTGCGACCTCACCGCCACAGCACCTTCGGCTGGCTTGCTTCCTCACCTGCAGCAGCCCCCCCTCCCTGCTGGTGTGCGACCTCACCGCCACAGCACCTTCGGCTGGCTTGCTTCCTCACCTGCAGCAGCCCCCCCCTCCCTGCTGGTGTGCGACCTCACCGCCACAGCACCTTCGGCTGGCTTGCTTCCTCACCTGCAGCAGCCCCCCCTCCCTGCTGGTGTGCGACCTCACGCCACAGCACCTTCGGCTGGCTTGCTTCCTCACCTGCAGAAGCCCCCCCCTCCTGCTGGTGTGCGACCTCACCGCCACAGCACCTTCGGCTGGCTGCTTCCTCACCTGCAGCAGCCCCCCCCTCCCTGCTGGTGTGCGACCTCACCGCCACAGCACCTTCGGCTGGCTTGCTTCCTCACCTGCAGCAGCCCCCCCCCCCTCCCTGCTGGTGTGCAACCTCACCGCCACAGCACCTTGGCTGGCTTGCCTCCTCACCTGCAGCAGCCCCCGCTCCCGGCTCGCGTGCGACCTCACCGCCGCAGCACCCCTTGGCTGGCTTGCCTCCTCACCTGCAGCAGCCCCCGCTCCCGGCTCGCGTGCGACCTCACCGCCGCAGCACCCCTTGGCTGGCTTGCCTCCTCACCTGCAGCAGCCCCCGCTCCCGGCTCGCGTGCGACCTCACCGCCGCAGCACCCCTTGGCTGGCTTGCCTCCTCACCTGCAGCAGCCCCCGCTCCCGGCTCGCGTGCGACCTCACCGCCGCAGCACCCCTTGGCTGGCTTGCCTCCTCACCTGCAGCAGCCCCCGCTCCCGGCTCGCGTGCGACCTCACCGCCGCAGCACCCCTTGGCTGGCTTGCCTCCTCACCTGCAGCAGCCCCGCTCCCGGCTCGCGTGCGACCTCACCGCCGCAGCACCCCTTGGCTGGCTTGCCTCCTCACCTGCAGCAGCCCTCGCTCCCGGCTCGCGTGCGACCTCACCGCCGCAGCACCCCTTGGCTGGCTTGCCTCCTCACCTGCAGCAGCCCCCCCCCTCCCGGCTGGCGTGCAACATCATCTGCCGAAGCGCTCTTCCCTTCGGACGTTTGCTTGTCCGATCACCGCTCTACCGGTTCCTTGTTTCAGGGGTTGTTTGGTCTAGCCCTTATCATGCTATGGGGGTGTGTTAGATTATAGCATGCATATGGCTAGACCTAACAGTGTACACCCAAATCATGGGTGTACACATTCAGGAGGTCTCCCAACTTTTGGTTGGGTTTCCACAACCCAGGCGACCATTATTGTTGGGGAGCCAACATTGGTGGCCAAACCCTCCAATGTTTGGCTCCTCCAATAATTATTGGGCTGGACCCTCACCACATTGGTCAACCAATAATGGTGGGGGGTAACCCTAACTTTGGTCACTCACCTCATGCACTATTTGTACTGCTCTTCTTTCTCAATATATCAACACTTCAGTTTCTCACACGCACATCTTCTCCCATTTCTCCACGTCCCGCCGATCCCCCTTCCCGCACCCGCGCTGCCTCGCCGCCCTGCTTTCGTGTATGTTGCAGCAATGCTCGTGCTCAACACAGTTGCCTTTCCATTGCTCCATGCGCACCCTGTCATGCCATGTTATGCATCGTCGTCCACCCATCCGCCATGCCGTGCTATCCGTGCTTCGCATGCGTGCTATCCGTGCTTCGCATGCGTGCTATGAAACGTGCCTGGAGCGCCTCTTGTGGATGACTGCTGCTCACCCTTCTCCTCGCTTCTGCTGCCCATCATGTGCCTCCCCCGCACCTCCCCCGCACGTCCCCCGCACGTCCCCCGCACCTCCCTCCAGGCTGGGAACGCCAGTGATGAGGGAGAACGGGCAGGTGATGCAGCAGCTGGCGGACGCGTGCCTGGTGGTGGCGGCGCTGGACAGCGACGGGCAGGCGCGGGACGAGCTGGTGCGCTCCGTGTGCAGCAAGGAGCTCACCGCGTACCAACAGATCTCCAGGGCACGGGTCAGTACCAGCAGATCTTCCAGGGCACGGGTCAGTACCAGCAGATCTTCCAGGGCACGGGTCAGTACCAGCAGATCTTCCAGGCACGGGTCAGTGCTGCTTCCATCCACTTTCATCTCGCCAGTTCATGAATTGTTGCTTTTGCTTGCCTTCAGTAACGCTTCTTGTCTTCTCCCTACTCACTCGGCCGTATCAAGCCCTCTGTCTGTGTGCCCTCCCCTTCACCTGTGCTCTTTTCTCCACACCCCTCATGTCCTCTCTCCTCCCCCCCCCCCCCCCTCCCCACTTCTCCTGCCCCATCTCCCCTCCCCCTCTGCGCCTCTCCTCTGGTTGGCAGACGTGGCGAGGATGGACAAGGTGGAGAGGCGGTACGTGTGGGTGAAGCGGCAGCTCAAGCTCAACGAGGACGTGTGGATCTTCCCACCCGCCTGGCACGTGCAGCGCCTCCTCTGCGCGCAGTTCTGCCGCATCACCGGTGGGTGGGTGGGCGGCCTGGGGAAGCCGTATCACGTGGGGACTGAGCTGTGTGGCACACTGTGCTGCCATCTCACGTGGTGGCATGGGGGAACCACATCACGTAATGGGTGGTGTGGGGGGCATGGGCGAAACCCAGAAAGAAGATGCCGTAAATACATGCGCCAAGGAAGAAGTGTTTGGGGCGTGGAGGCAGTGATGAACGTGTTTGTCCCAACCAACCCACTTGAATGTGTCCATCCCATTGCATTCAGCGCTCGGGATGAAAGCGTTTCTCCCGAGGTGCTTGCATTGCATGTTTGTGGCTTTTTCACTCACCTCCAACGTGTGCTATGGCGTGGCATGGCGTGGCATGGCATGGCATGGCATGGCGTGGCATGGCATGGCATGGCATGGCATGGTGGCATGGCATGGCATGGCATGGCATGGCGTGGCATGGCGTGGCATGGCGTGGCATGGCGTGGCATGGCGTGGCGTGGCGTGGCATGGCATGGCATGGCATGGCATGGCATGGCATGGCATGGCGTGGCATGGCATGGCATGGCATGGCATGGCATGGCATGGCATGGCATGGCATGGCGTGGCATGGCGTGGCATGGCGTGGCGTGGGTGGGGCATGCAGGGCGCAGTTGAAGGAGCAGCTGGATGGCGCCAAGGACAGACCAGATGTCACCACGCTCTTGCAGGTCAGATCACACCCCTGCGGGTCACAACCGGTGCCGGTCATACCCGCTGCAGGTTATAGCTGGTGCTGATTCTAGCTGGTGCTTGTAGTGTTGAGGGACACAAGATTTTCTTTGCAAAGTCCAGCTACACGTGTTGCTGACTGTCACAGCACCATGGCAGTGATCGATGCTCAAGTGCTGCTCCCCCCACTGGTACCCTCCTCCCCCACCCCCACCCCTCTCTCCCTGCTCCCCCACCCGCACCCCCACCCCCCTCCCCCCCCACCGCCCCCCACCCCCCCCTCCCCCCACCCGAACCCCCCCCCCCCCTCCTCCCACCCGCACCCCACCCCCCCCCTCCCACCCCCGCACCCCCACCCCCCCCCCTCCCCCCACCCCCACATCAGGCGTTGAGCGCACGTTGGAGTTTGAGGACGACCTGGCGAGCGCTCCCCCCACACCCGCCACCCCGCTGCCTCGCCCTCCTCCAATGCCACTGCCGCTGCCCCCGCTGCCCCCGCTGCTGCCGCCGCTGACGTGGAGGTCAGTGTGGTGCGTGGGAGGGCGGGGGGAGGGGGGAGAGAGGGAGGGAGGAGCAGGGAGAGAAGGAAGCAAGGTGTGGGAGAGGGGCGTTTCCTGTTACTGTTAGCATTGGGAGGGAAGAAGGCGAGGAGCGTGTGTGGAATGGCCTTGAGCACCCGTTGAACTCAGGCCGGCCACACTCAAACTAGCGCCTAAGGTTCGTAACCTAGGTCCTTAAAGGTCAGCTCAAGTATCGGCCTGTCCACGTTTCATTCATTCCAGTCACATTCGTCCAACCCCTCCTTGCGTGCTATATGTTTACCGCTGCCTCACTCAGCTATGTTGCCCCCCCCCCTCCCCTGACGTGGCAGTTTGAGTTCCAGGGCGCCATCTCAGCGTGCTTTGAGCCGCACCTGGGGGTGTACGTGGACCTCGAGGAGCGCACTCTGGTGGACACCCTCGACAAGCTCGTGCAGGTGAGACAAGCTCGTGCAGGTGAGACAAGTCGTGCAGGTGAGACAAGCTCGTGCAGGTGAGACAAGCTCGTGCAGGTGAGCAAGCTCGTGCAGGTGAGGCAAGCTCGTGCAGGTGAGCAAGCTCGTGCAGGTGAGCAAGCTCGTGCAGGTGAGGCAAGCTCGTGCAGGTGAGGCAAGCTCGTGCAGGTGAGGCAAGCTCGTGCAGGGAGGCAAGCTCGTGCAGGTGAGCAAGCTCGTGCAGGTGAGAAAGCTCGTGCAGGTGAGCAAGCTCGTGCAGGTGAGGCAAGCTCGTGCAGGTGAGGCAAGCTCGTGCAGGTGAGGCAAGCTCGTGCAGGTGAGCAAGCTCGTGCAGGTGAGCAAGCTCGTGCATGGCAAGCACGTGCAGTGTGAGCAAGCTCGGCAGGGAGCAAGCTCGTGCAGGTGAGCAAGCTCGTGCAGGTGAGGCAAGCTCGTGCAGGTGAGGCAAGCTCGTGCAGGTGAGGCAAGCTCGTGCAGGTGAGGCAAGCTCGTGCAGGTGAGGCAAGCTCGTGCAGGTGAGGCAAGCTCGTGCAGGTGAGCAAGCTCGTGCAGGTGAGCAAGCTCGTGCAGGTGAGGCAAGCTCGTGCAGGTGAGGCAAGCTCGTGCAGGTGAGGCAAGCTCGTGCAGGTGAGGCAAGCTCGTGCAGGTGAGGCAAGCTCGTGCAGGTGAGGCAAGCTCGTGCAGGTGACAAGCTCGTGCAGGTGAGGCAAGCTCGTGCAGGTGAGGCAAGCTCGTGCAGGTGAGGCAAGCTCGTGCAGGTGAGCAAGCTCGTGCAGGTGAGACAAGCTCGTGCAGGTGAGGCAAGCTCGTGCAGGTGAGGCAAGCTCGTGCAGGTGAGGCAAGCTCGTGCAGGTGAGGCAAGCTCGTGCAGGTGAGCAAGCTCGTGCAGGTGAGACAAGCTCGTGCAGGTGAGCAAGCTCGTGCAGGTGAGCAAGCTCGTGCAGGTGAGACAAGCTCGTGCAGTGGGCAAGCTCGTGCAGGTGAGGCAAGCTCGTGCAGGTGAGCAAGCTCGTGCAGGTGGCAAGCTCGTGCAGGTGAGACAAGCTCGTGCAGGTGAGCAAGCTCGTGCAGGTGAGGCAAGCTCGTGCAGGTGAGGCAAGCTCGTGCAGGTGAGACAAGCTCGTGCAGGTGAGACAAGCTCGTGCAGGTGAGACAAGCTCGTGCAGGTGAGGCAAGCTCGTGCAGGTGAGGCAAGCTCGTGCAGGTGAGGCAAGCTCGTGCAGGTGAGGCAGCTCGTGCAGGTGAGACAAGCTCGTGCAGGTGAGACAAGCTCGTGCAGGTGAGCAAGCTCGTGCAGGTGAGCAAGCTCGTGCAGGTGAGCAAGCTCGTGCAGGTGAGCAAGCTCGTGCAGGTGAGACAAGCTCGTGCAGGTGAGACAAGCTCGTGCAGGTGAGACAAGCTCGTGCAGGTGAGACAAGCTCGTGCAGGTGAGACAAGCTCGTGCAGGTGAGACAAGCTCGTGCAGGTGAGACAAGCTCGTGCAGGTGAGACAAGCTCGTGCAGGTGACAAGCTCGTGCAGGTGAGGCAAGCTCGTGCAGGTGAGGCAAGCTCGTGCAGGTGAGGCAAGCTCGTGCAGGTGAGACAAGCTCGTGCAGGTGAGACAAGCTCGTGCAGGTGAGGCAAGCTCGTGCAGGTGAGGCAAGCTCGTGCAGGTGAGGCAAGCTCGTGCAGGTGGGCAAGCTCGTGCAGGTGAGGCAAGCTCGTGCAGGTGAGGCAAGCTCGTGCAGGTGAGGCAAGCTCGTGCAGGTGAGACAAGCTCGTGCAGGTGAGGCAAGCTCGTGCAGGTGAGGCAAGCTCGTGCAGGTGAGCAAGCTCGTGCAGGTGAGGCAAGCTCGTGCAGGTGAGGCAAGCTCGTGCAGGTGAGGCAAGCTCGTGCAGGTGAGGCAAGCTCGTGCAGGTGAGGCAAGCTCGTGCAGGTGAGGCAAGCTCGCAGGTGAGGCAAGCTCGTGCAGGTGAGGCAAGCTCGTGCAGGTGAGGCAAGCTCGTGCAGGTGAGACAAGCTCGTGCAGGTGAGGCAAGCTCGTGCAGGTGAGCAAGCTCTGCAGGTGAGGCAAGCTCGTGCAGGTGAGGCAAGCTCGTGCAGGTGAGGCAAGCTCGTGCAGGTGAGGCAAGCTCGTGCAGGTGAGGCAAGCTCGTGCAGGTGAGACAAGCTCGTGCAGGTGAGGCAAGCTCGTGCAGGTGAGGCAAGCTCGTGCAGGTGAGGCAAGCTCGTGCAGGTGAGGCAAGCTCGTGCAGGTGAGCAAGCTCGTGCAGGTGAGGCAAGCTCGTGCAGGTGAGGCAAGCTCGTGCAGGTGAGGCAAGCTCGTGCAGGTGAGCAAGCTCGTGCAGGTGAGCAAGCTCGTGCAGGTGAGGCAAGCTCGTGCAGGTGAGGCAAGCTCGTGCAGGTGAGGCAAGCTCGTGCAGGTGAGGCAAGCTCGTGCAGGTGAGGCAAGCTCGTGCAGGTGAGGCAAGCTCGTGCAGGTGAGGCAAGCTCGTGCAGGTGAGCAAGCTCGTGCAGGTGAGGCAAGCTCGTGCAGGTGAGGCAAGCTCGTGCAGGTGAGCAAGCTCGTGCAGGTGAGGCAAGCTCGTGCAGGTGAGGCAAGCTCGTGCAGGTGAGGCAAGCTCGTGCAGGTGAGGCAAGCTCGTGCAGGTGAGGCAAGCTCGTGCAGGTGAGGCAAGCTCGTGCAGGTGAGGCAAGCTCGTGCAGGTGAGGCAAGCTCGTGCAGGTGAGGCAAGCTCGTGCAGGTGAGCAAGCTCGTGCAGGTGAGGCAAGCTCGTGCAGGTGAGGCAAGCTCGTGCAGGTGAGGCAAGCTCGTGCAGGTGAGGCAAGCTCGTGCAGGTGAGGCAAGCTCGTGCAGGTGAGGCAAGCTCGTGCAGGTGAGGCAAGCTCGTGCA